CTGCAGTACACTTTTTTTCGATGCGTTGATTTTCAGATTCATTTTCTTGTTTTGTACGTTTAGCACACCCCAACACATCAGTCTTTTCAAGAACCTTGTCTATTATCAGAATTTTGTCACAATTGAAGCATGCTTAACAGGGCTACTTGTCATCGATGCTAAAATCGCTTTTCAAATCGATCTTACGAAATACCATCATCTGAAGATGGGCTGTGAAAATCCTTAGTACACTTTGCTAATAACTTCAGCGGTTTTTCTCCCACGACCCTTTTAGACAGTGCAAGAATCTCTAACAGTCTGCAAGATTCTCCAACAATCAGCAGTTTGTGCAAATCTCGAAAGATTGCCAGTCTTTCGTAGTTGAAATCGTGATTCTTTTTCTTAAGATTGTCAATCTTTCGTAGTTGAAATCGTGATTCTTGCTCTTCATTAACGTCTTACAACAGCACTCACCGCTAGAGTTGAAGAGGCAAGGCTTGTTTTGCACCATGATGGAACATTTTAGACGAGACACAAAGCTGCTTTTCCCTTCCCTTATCTTCCACCACCGGTTTTTTCAGTTATTTCTGAAATCTTTCAAAGGATTTTTCGAAAATACTAGCATTTTTTTCGAACGAATTTTTAGGATTATAGAAAATAGCCCGTTTTTTTTTAATCTTTTTGGTTCGACCACATTTGTTTTTTTCGAAGTCCAGTAGTAGCTGATAAATCTGAAGTGGGCTGGATCATTAAAGAATCGAAATCCAGGGAAATTTTCAGTTTCAGGACGGTGCTGACGAATTCAATGGATGAGCAGGAGCCATGCTCTTTCAATTTGCGCCTCATCGAAGCAGTGCGCAATAGCCGCTGTCTTTATGATGCCAAGGATCGGCTCTATCGCTCGTCCGATCACAAAACAAGAGTTTGGAATCGTATTGTACAGACGTTGCAGTTTGATGGTGAGTTTTTTCATGTTCGAATAACAGCCTGTCTTGTACTCTTCTTCATCGAGCGTTTTTCCCAGAATTTTATCAAAGTTTTTTGTCTTTATTGATATAATTAGGTGATTTGTGGAACAAAAATCAGGAGTTTCCCCCTTGTTCAAGAATCTCGACCGCTTCAGCTAGTTATCCTTGTTATGCGTTTTTTGCAGCTATACAATACAGAAAACGCATGTTGACGAAGGGTTGTCTGTGTGTGTATATGTCTGTGTGTCCGTGTGTGCGTCTTTCATGCTTTTTCATCTCAGGACCTACAAAAGTTACAGGATGAAACTTTGGGAACTTAGTCCACATGCTCGTGCGGGCCCCAGTCCCCAAAATGAGCATCATTACCCGCGTGGTACCACGTAAGAACTCGCCAAGCTTTTTTCGGGTAAGTTCATAACTCGAGAATCTGAGAAGCTAGAATGCTGAAATATTAGAGCAATGTTCCCAGTCAAAGTAGGTATTAATGAGCTCAAACCTAGCCTCCGGGTAAGCGTGGAACCCGCGTACGAACTCGCTAGAATTTTTTTCGGATAAGTTTATAGCTCGGGGATCTGAGAAACTAGAATGCTGAAATCTTAGGGGGATGTTTCCCGTCCAAGTGGGTATTAACGAGTTCAAACCCTACCCGCGGGTAAGCGTGGTACCTACGTACGGGCCCGTGAAAGTTCCTTCCTGGTAAGTTGCGAACTCGGGAGCATGAGAAGCTAGAAGACTGGAATTATGAAGGGATGTTTCCTGACAATCCTGACGACCAGTCTGAAATTCTTTTAGCTAGATGCATCTGCCGGAAAAGCCAGTACCGTTAGCGACAAAAATCTACGGGGATCTATGCAAAAAACGCATCTTCGCACGGGCAGCCCGTGCGTTGACCATTTATTTTTTTTTCATATGGGCCTCTCGACGCAAATAAATTGTGTGCATCTTCTGTTATTCGATCCTCAGCTTTTTGGATGCGTATGGCTTTCTATTTTTCTCAGAAAGGAATATGACAGTACCAAAATTAAGCTGAATCAAAGTTTTGGTTTTTGTATAGTTCCGGTATCTGGCCCTGCCTAACGTCATAGGGGATCTGCAAAGCAGTGATTTTTTTCTTCCAAAGCTGAGTTTTAAATGTCATCAGAACTGTCTCAGGGGGACATTTCTTTTTAAGTTTTTTTTGGCATGTGGG